GCGCAGATAGCCCTCGTGTAGCTTTGCGCGAAATTCAAAAACAAAACAAACAAACAAACACAATGTATTTATTGTGTTTCGATTGTTCTGCATTGTGTTTTCATTATGTTGTTATGTATGTATTTTAGTACGAGGTTTTCATTTTAGTCATAGTTTGTTAAACTACTCCCTTCTGAAGGTGGTAGGTATTCATTGTTAAAGTTTGTTTTATTTTATGTCATCAATGTTAAAGTTCTCTTTTGTACTATTATATTAGCACAATGTGCTTCAATACACAAGTATTAAGGGGTCTTATTATGTTATATTCATTCTTAAAGGATATTTTATGCTATCTATTTCAGTGTTAAATGTTTTTATATTAAATGATGAATTGCTTTATTCTTAGTTTTAATGTAATGTTTAATTTTTTATGTAGTAGCAAGTGTTTTATTGAGTATTGCTTTAACCTGAAGTAGGATAAATTCAATCTTTAAATATGCTTAAAGGGTTTTATTCTAACATTTTTGTGTCATGTGATTGTAAATCATTGTGAAAAGGTTTGATTTTGTGTTACTGCAATTAAGAGTAATTCATTGGGTTTTGGATAAAGTTAAGGATAAAGAAATGTTAATGTGCTCCTTGACAATTTAAAATTTATTGTTTTTAAGTTTAATTCTCATTGTCGACTTGAGAACAAGCCTGAAACAGAGGAAGGAGGAAGTGTGATATGGAGGCATATAATATTGTTACGTCTCTGTGTTCGTTTGCTAATTTTTCGTAGAAATTCTTTCCGAGAAACTTCAGCGATACAAGTCCTTTCTTAAATAAAACTAGTTTATTCTTTCTCAATTCAACTTTGCAATACACTTAATTTCTACAGTCACTTTAACTTAAACACACGCTAGAATTCACAACGATTCACACACTCTATTTACAGCTTGACTCGATTATCTATCTCTATATCTCGCTGTCTGCAACTCTGTTATTGCTGTCACTTTATTTGCCGGCTTATATACTATAAAAGCGCGCGTCTAGCGAACGCTAGGATGTTCGACAGGTTCCTCGATCTTTCTAGAACTCCAGCACATGCTCCCAGCGTCGCGCGACTTCCGCTTGTGTAACACTGCCCCTTCCTTAATATTGTTCGTCCCGAGCAATAGCCACTTAAATTAAACCAATAGATAATTAACAAGAACTTAATTAAATGTACAGAATTTACAAACACAAAAATTAAAATTCAACAAAGTCTCTTGATTTTACGAGACGTATCTTCTTCCATACTGGTCTCCATCTCGTAGGCTTCTGCTTCACGTGAGGTTCATCTGCTCCATCGGGAACTGTCCTATTATCGGTAACAGTCACATCAGTGGTTGTAACTTCATCAAGGGCTTCACTGTTTCCCTTCACAAAACCGGGTAGAGTTTCTTCTTTGGCAGTGGCTTTTTCAGGTGACACGTCTTCAACAGCGTCATTTGTTCCATTGTTCACTTCATCCCAACTGAAATGTCCTGGACTGTGATAACGTCAAAGCCTGTTGGCATGCACCACCTTTGGCTTACCTCGCTGACCACATTTTATCCGG